CCGAGCTGATCTACTAATTATCTGAAGCGTCGGATTTTCGACCGATCACTAAAACTAACATCCTTTCAAATGACTACACCTCAAGACTCTATCCAAGAGTCTGTCTAGCAAAGCTACCCTAATCTAGTTGTATATAAGGCTTCAACAACTCTCTTGTTCTAACCAGGGATATCATAACCAACCATCACACCGATGCAATGTAACTTCTGCATTTATATTGTAAAGACTTGTGGAATCAGGGGTTAAAAAGGTAAATTTCATATTAATTTTGAAATAAAAGAGAAAGGAGGGACCAAAGATGTTATTATGGAGAAAAGTTTATGGGATATGGGTATATAGACATTAGCACCCGTCTAACCCTAAACCTAATCCATAGTTGTAGCCGCCATCATCGGAAGCACTCCAACTGCCATCCTTCTTCATCGTTCCAATCAACGAGTCAAGTGATCAAACTATTTCCCAATCAACGTTATCCGCCATAGTTTACGTTATCGAGCCTGAAAGCTACCGCCACCATCACTGCACCGCCCCTGTGAAGAAGATGAAGATGTTGCCGTCCGCTTAACCTCCACTGTTACATTGCTACTGTCACCGCTGGAGGGCTCGTTTCTTCTACTCCGGACATCGGTTGCCATTCCAAAGGGGCTACTATGTCGTGTGTCATTGTTTCAGCCGTTATGAGCACTGTTGTAGCGTCCTCGTTCTGCCTCCTGGTTGCGTGTGTGTGTTTATTTTAGTGTAGTGTTTCTATGTTCATTTATTTTGATATTTTCATTGTAACTTGTAAAAAATGGAATAATGGAAAAAAAATTAAAAAGCACCATGTTAGCGTGGTGGCGGCGTTTGCCTCGTTGAGTTTGATTCGTTTGGGGTGCTTGAAACCCTAATGGGTCTAATGGACCCTAATCGACCTAAGGAAATCCCTATTGGGCTTAAGGACCTAGCTATTGGGCCTATTGGGCTTATATGGGTTGGAAACCCTAATTAGGGTTTGAAAAACCCTAATATTGGGAATTAATCGGGACACATGAGAATTATTTGATAACTGGAAATATTAAATGATAATCATTGGCAAAAATTAATCTAAGCTTATTAGACTTAATGGATTAATTCCTTAATGGGTTAATTAGGATACTTAACCCTAATCATCAATTTATATGAAACCTTAATTTCACTTGGGCCTTAAGTTGGCTTTGATGATTAGGATAATGATGGGCCATCCAAGAACAAGCTAATGGGCTAAAAGAGTTAAATGGGCTTTAGGGTAAGACACATCTAAAAGGGTTAGGCCCAATTTGGAAAATTGGGTCATAGATGGGCCATACTTTGGGCCTTTATGATTATGAGATATTGGGCCATTTAAAATACCAAATGATGGACTAGATGTTTAGTTGGGCCTTATAATGAGACAATGTAAAGGTTTGGGCCCAATTTGAAAACTTGGGCCATATGTTGGGATTTGACTCATAATTGACTTTGGGCCTATGGATTGGGCCTTGGCCTTGAATAAAGCCAACCTTGGAGTAATGTAGTAATTATCCAAGTATGTATTTATGGTTATGTGTTAGGACCTAATTCTTAATTGGGTGTTATTTTGGTGTTGATAGTTCGGGAATCTGGCATCCAACAGCTAGGGTTGAGTCTGTGGCACTTCAACAATGTGGGGTCGAGTCTACGGGACTTCAGCAGTGTGAGGTGAGTTACCTTCCAATAGTGGTGGATCTAAGGCACCAATTCCGACCCACCAGTAGGTGATTATGTTTGAGATGATTGTCTTTGTGATAATTATCTGGTTTCCATTATTTGATATGCTTATTGTGTTGGGATGCCATGAGATATGTGTTAGTAGTAGTAGGGTGCAATAGTCCCCAGTTATCGGATGAAAGATACCGAAGGGGTAGATAGATCCCATGCATGCCTAGTAGTATGTTTATGGTATGTTATTATGTGACCTGTATGGTTTTTATATGCCATTATGCAAACAATATGTTTATTATATGATATTATGTGACCAGTATGGTTATGATATGCAATTATGTGATTCAGTATGTTTATTTTATGTTATCATGGAACAAATATGTTTATGACCTTTTATTATGTGATAGTGATAAGGTTGAAATAGTCCCCGGATACCGGTTGAAAGATACCGAAGGGGAGGTTAGTTCCCGGTTACCGGTTGAAAGATACCGAAGTGAAGGTTAGTTCCTGAGTACCTGTTGAAAGATACTGAAGGGGAGTTCATCTCCCAGTTATGTCAGACAGATACCAGTTGAAAGATACCGAGGGATAGGCATTATGTGGTATGATGGGGGAACTTACTAAGCTTCATGCTTACAGTTTTCTGTTTTGGTTTCATGTACTTCGTTTTCAAAGGAAGGTAGTCGGCTCGATCGCATCACATCACACCATGTTTCCCACACACAAGATCCTTGGGATTACACTCTGATATGGTTTTATGATACTATGTTTTGATTATTGACACTTAGGTTTTGACATGAGATATTATTATGAATATTTTTATACTAATGATTTTATGTAATAACTTAATTGAAACGAAATTTTTGGCCTGTATTTTTGGGATGTTACAAGTTGGTATCAGAGACTTGGTTTGAGGGATTCGGGCACACTCTCGGGTGTGTCAGAACTCAAACTAAGGACTTGGTATGAAAATTTTCAAAAGTAAGATCATTTTATGAAAATAATTTGAAAAGAGAACGGAACTTTGAAAAGAACAAGGTGTGTGATGCATGCAATCAAACGAGCTTAAGTAAGTTTTCCCCAAGATACCCATACATGCTATGTTATGATATGATTATGAGAACTGCATGCTACATTAGGGCTGAGGATCTAGTAGGATGCCTTATATGCCTATTGTATGTGCTTGTAGACTTGCATGCTAGTACTGATCAGTCAGTGATAGGATAGCTTGTTTAGGTTATGTCTGATTATATGAACCTTTAAATTGCAACTAAGGACTCCTGCGTAGAGGATAGAATGGCTTGATTGTAATATGATGGTTAGATTTTCCATTGTCTGAATGTTGCTTGCTTTGTGCTTTGTGGGACTCTTAGTAATGTGAGCTAGCTATATTCATGAAATAGCTAGTTGGCATTATTAGGAATCTTTCAGCAGCTGAGGATTGGGTGAGTTCAGGAACCTTGGAGAGCCTAGGATATGTTTCAGTGGGTTACCAGTGAGGTTTAATGAAACTGGGTGTACTAGTTTGAGGAAGTGACTTGGAGGATTCGGGAGGCTTGCTGAGAAAAGTATGGATAGGTGTGGAAGGTAGTATTGGGCCCGTACGACTAAAAGAACAGGATCCATACTCGAATCGTTGAGAGTCTTGGAGAATCTGAGAAGCTTCAGGCAAGAGTTTGAGACCCAGTTTGTGGACAGAGGATGTTCAAGTTATTGCAGCTTAGCCGTTAGCAAGTGAGATAGTGAGTGTGACAGGGTGTCAAACCCTGGAGGATATGATTTCCAAGAGTTGCAAATGCGTGATCGATTTGGAGCACCCTAGGAAAAGAGGTTTGTGTTAGGTGCATATAGTAAAGGGTCCCGGGAAGAGATCCATGACTTCTGATCCTCATGTGAAAGGCCAGCAAGGTCGGAGTCAGTATTGCATGTACGGGAAAATGCACAATGGAGTTTGTTGCTCCAAGGGTTTAGGATGCTACAAGTGTGGCGGGGTTGGTCATGTCAGTTATAGGTGATCTGTATCCATCCAAATGTTGTGGGTATGTCATCTTTTACTGCTGCTAGATGGATGTTGGGAATACGTATCGATATGGAATTGTGAGTGAGTTGGATAAGTCAGACCTTGGGTCGGTTTCCTGCTTGTGTCTGGGTTATCAAGGATCATATATGCCATCCTGCATGCCGAAAGGTCCTTGATGAACCCACAGAAGGGCGTACCTTGTCGAGTGGGTTCCTCATGTACCATTATCATCCTGGATCTTTGTTGAGATCTGTGATGGAGTATTGTTTGGAAGATCCTGGGCCAGGTTAGAGTGATAGGTCTCTAGAAAATTTAGCGTGCAGGGGTTCTATCATTGTTAAGGTGTGGTCAAAAATTTTCTAGGGATGAAATTTGGAGTTCAAGGCACTACCGTTGCTAGGACAGGACTGGTATCATAAAGAGGGTAGTGTCAGTTGTGGGTGTTAGATGCATAAGTGGTTGATCATTAGATGTTCAAGAGCATTGTATTTTTCCATGGGTTGTGCTCGGTTAAAGTGCAATGATGCTGCAAGATTGGGGGTGGGAATGAGGATTCGTCAGTCCGGGGTGACGATTAAGACCTCCAGTAGTCATTATGAGAGGTGGATTGAAGGGTCAGACTGGACCAGCTTTCAATATTACTCATCACGGTTTCCGAGGATAGGCGATCTCAGGGTTTATCTTGTAAGTGATCGCTAGCATTGGTAAGCACATGTAGTCATTGGTGGGATATTAGAAAGCAAGAAGGCACTACAAGAAAAAGAGCCTTTAACGACGCACAAACCACGACACTCGGTGATTTATGTTACGCAAAAGGGAGTGATATTAAAAAAGTGTCATCTCTTCAAAAAATTTAAGGATTTATGTCACGCATTATTGCGTGCCCTTAGATTAGTGTCTCATGTAAAAAAAAAATAAAAACACGGAGGGCACTTTATCTAAAATGTGCGCCCTCTGTGAATGTCGCTTTATGTTTTACTCAAAAGGCGCGTTCTTGAAAGGGGGAAATGAAATCCCCAAAAATTAAAACCCCGCCTATTCCATGTGAAAATTAAAACCCGCTCCTCTTCGTCTTCCTCTCTCTCTCTCTCTCTATATCTCTCTCTCTCTCTAACCTAAAAAGCCAACCTGCGATTTCATAGAGATTGTTATTTAGATTTAAGAAGAAAAGAAGAAGACAAGCAAGGATAATACTACTAAATTCCACAAAATCGCAGGGACTAGGGCTTTTTTTCAAGAACGGAAACACTTGGTGCTCTCTGGCCTCTGCAACAATCGATCGATGATCTCGCCTCACCTCGTCGGCAACATCTTTGCTCACTTCTCCTTCAACGACCTTAGGGGTATTTTCCTCCGGCGACCTCGGGCTCATGTGACCTCGTCAGAGACTGCTCAAATTTCCACACCCTAGCGCGACTAAGATATGCTATGTTTATTCTCTCTTCCTAATGTTTTTGTTCTTCTATTTCTTTAATCTCTCCTCTATTCATAGCTTTGATTTCGATTTTGGATCTTCTCATCTTCTCCTGTGAAAACCCTAACTCAAAAACTATGCAGGTTTCAATGGCGATTTCCTTATCATTCCACAGCCCTCACTTCTACTCTTTAAGCATCTCAGGTATGCTTTGTTCCTTCTCCCTAATTTTAATTCTTCTTGTTTGATTTCTTAGGTGCGTTAGGGTTCGGATGTTTCACCTTTTCCTAAACCAAAATTCCATTTATTCAAGATACAATCTTCTGTGCTAAATTATATTAATTCAATGACATATGTCGGTTAGGTTTTCACAAGTGTCATTGTTTGAGATGCTTAGAGAGTAGAAGTGAGGACTGTGGAATGATAAGGAAATCGCCATTGAAACCTGCATAGTTTGAGATGCTTAGAGAGTAGAAGTGAGGCTTATCAGTGCTTATGGAAGCATCTCTATAAGCAGAAGAGAAAAACATAAATGATGGTGAAGAGGCGAAAGGTTCTGTTAAGGCTTCCATATGCGTTAGAAGCTTCCCTCCAATGAGTTCCTGCTGTTACAGACAATATGGATGGAAATGGAATTGAAAATAAAACAGAGCCTATCATGACTTTGGAATCACAGATTCTGAGTTTTAGTTCTAAACCTCCTTTCACCATCACGAGTCTCTTGTGATTTTCTCTGCTATTTCGTGTCTATAAATGTTCATAAACAGTGACGTTTCTATAGACCTTTTTAAACAGATTGATTTTGGGATTGTGGCTTGTGGCTTGTAAAAAACCATTGATTAATGTAATTTGGTTATGGATGTCTTGTTTATGTGTAAATGCAGGTTCTTCCACCTCCTAATGTTACTGGAGCTCTACACATTGGTCATGCTTTAACTGCTGCTATCCAGGTTTATATTATGCCTTGCACTACAAAAACAGAAAATAGAAAGATTTATAAGTAGAACCTTATAGACACTTATGAATTTAGTCCACATGTTTTTTCAATATGAAAAGAAGTGCATAACAATGAATAAGGAATGTGCTAGTGAACAATCTCATGGCCTTATGACTGGACCTTCAAATAATATCCACAAAGAACTGAAATTTGATTATGTAGATAACTTTGACAGACATAATTCAGGTTTTACAAATAGTGTTTCACCTTTACAATATCATACAACTGAGAAATATCAGGTATCACATTCAGATATGTTTGGAGGTTATGATGACAAACCGTTGCTGATGAGTTCAAATGCAAAGCATTTAGGTAACTTAAGAGGTGATTGATTGTCCGTCCATAATACAAGTATGCAGTGATGAAGAAGCTACTAATTTACCCTTCAAATTTTAATTTGTGTTTGATTGAGGTACACCCCCTTATCATTTTTTATATGCCAGAACACAAAAGACATATACACCCCTAATGTTTTCTGTGAGTTTCAGCTTCAAGAGGAGGCTGCTTTGGCAATCAAATGTATTGATAAATGCAAAGAATGGGGGATTTAAATGGTTGGTAATAATAAATTAAAGTGCCTTGTGCAAATTTTAATTTGTGTTTGATTGAGGTACACCCCCTTATCAATCTTTTTTCTCAACTTGTTTACAAGCGATTTCTTTATGGTTTGTTTAACTACAGGTGAAGATTATAAAGTGCCTTGTTGAAAACATTATGGTAGATATATCTTTTAATCAACTTGGAGGATTGTGTACCCTTTGCTTTCTTGAGGAGGTTGATAATCTGATAAACCATAACCATTTGTTTAAGAGGAGCATTATACTAATCAAAGCCTGGTGTTATTATGAGAGTCGCATACTTGGTGTTCACCATGGGCTCATATCAACTTATGCCCTAGAGACTTTGGTTCTTTACATATTCCATGTTTTCAACAATTCTTTTGTTGGACCTCTTGAGGTTGTTTAACACACAATTTACAAACATACCCTTTACAGGTATGTATTTGGAACCAAGTTATTGAAAATTTATGGTGTGTGTCCAGGAGGTAATAAAATCCAGGAGACATCTTCCATTGATGCCCTAAACTCTTATCCTGGCTTAATGGTAGGTAAGCTTATTTATCTTTATTTTTGCTCACAAATCTGATAACTATGGTTGCAGAAAGCAGTCAAACAATAACATTAACACTTAGGTAACAGGAATAATAACATTAACAAAAACAAAAACAGTGAAGGTAGAGTAACAATAGCAATAACAATAAACATAAATTATTACTGTATAATCATATGTAGCAGTCTCTGTATCCTGTAAGAACTCTGGTTTATTTATTTATTTTTCCTTATTTTTTTGCAGTCATCTGGCCCATGTTGTTTAACCATTCAACTGATGGATGTTGGGAATGCAAAGACTGATGTGGTTGCGGTTTCTGTGGATCATAATTTTTCAACTTATCTTCACAATGGTTTTCTTTCTGTTGTGCCTGGAAAAAAGGATTCTGGTATTATGTTGCAGAGGTAATAACTAATAAATATTAATACTTCTTATGACATTGAGTAAATAAGTATCTATTTATGTTCATATTTAATTTGTTTCCTAATTACATGCAGAAATAAATGCCAATTCTCAGGTATTGATGAATCTTCTGCTATATCAGCTGTCATGGAAGGCGTACATGTGGTGAATGGTTTGGAGTATAAGATGTATTGCAGCTCATCAAAGGTAATTATTATCGTATGCGATTTATTTTGCATCTGATTAAACTGCACAAGTGCACCACTCTATGGAGGAAGTGACGACCTGCTTTCTGATGCCCCTTCATTTGACCTACCAGTTACATCAGATGTGAGTTTCTTTACAATTCTTGCCTTTTTCTCTTTTCCTTTCTGCTAGATATTAAGTGAATGTATATATTGCTAAAACACTACATCAAATCCTTTGCTTCAGTTTGATGGATTTCAGAAGAATTCTATCCAAATGGTAAAACCAGCAAAAGGAACAACAACTTTGGCTTTTATTTTTAAGGAAGGTGTGATGGTTGCTGCAGATTCCCGAGCTAGCATGGGAGGCTATATATGTATGCATTTCTCCTTCTAAATTATAATATATCTTTACTTGATTAATAATTAATTATGAATCGAAAGCAACATGATTTGAAAGCATTAAATAGTCTTCAAAAACACTCGTTTAATTTTGTTTTTTGTTTTTTTTTTTTTTGCAGCATCTCAATCTGTGAAAAAAAATCATTGAAATTAATCTGTATATGTTGGGCACAATGGCTGGAGGAGCTGCAGATTGTTAAAAATGGGAGTTCTATCGCCAAGATGTCCAGTACATTGTTAAAAATGGGAAAGCTCTTATAATAAACGAGGTATTAAAAACATCGTATTTTTATTTTAGGAGAAAAAACTAGTTATATTGCTGTAAATTAATGTTCATTTGAAGTTGACGGGGAGAGTGGAAAAAAAAGACGATGGTCAGAGGGGATTCACCTGGTTGTGGAGGCAAAAGAAGGGTTACCAATCCAGGTATATATTGCGATTGCCTGCCACATCATCATTCTTTTTGACAACTCTTGTTTAAAGCTATTACCTTGTATTCCTCTTGGGCTTTGCAGGCTGATTCAGTTGTAGTGGCACAAATCACATACCAATCAATGTTTAAGCTTTATCCAAAGCTTTCAGGGATGACAGGAACTGCAAAAACTGAAGTAAGTATTCACTTTCTATATGGGCTAAAAATATAACAAGTAACAATAACTACTTGTTTTCATCTATTTGTGTGTTATAGCATCCTACTTTCATTGCTTTCTACCATACTAGCATACTCTTTAAAAAAGATATCTTTCATAAGGCACTGTACTTTGAAAACTATACCACTTATGGTTATAGCTGTATACTTTCATTTTTTTTTCTTTTTAGGATGTTGTACTGAGAGTAGGATGCTGGTAATTAGAAATAGGTAGCTATTCTTTCATTTGGCCCTAACGTTAATGTGAATGGTATATGGTTTTGGGTAAATAACGTAGCTAAATACGTGGGCAAAAGTGAGAACAAGAGTTGGACATATGAGAAGGCAAAATCTATAATTTCAGAGTCAATTGAAATGAGCCAGTCAATGGGTTTAGATGAACTGCAAAGGCTTGTGGAAGAACAGGCAGAGATGTACCCTCTTGGTCCTTGCATTGCAATTGCCTATTTATCGGTTCTAAAGGACTGTGAGATTCATTGCTTTCATGAAGGATTGGAAGTCAAACGACTTGGTGGTCTCCATGTCATTGGGACATCTCTGCATGAGTCCCGAAGAATTGATAATCAGGTAACTTTGCATCAGTATTGTGTTTTAAGGTTTTACATAAATTTAGCATATACTTTCAGACTCACTTTTTTAATTTATTTCTTGCTTTACAAATCTTCGTGGCAGAGCAGGAAGGCAAGGAGATCCTGGATCAACACGCTTCATGGTCAGGTAAGTTCTGTTAAATGATTTTTATAAAGTTTAAAGTCAATCCTTTCATCTGGACAAAATTCTTCATGTTAAATTACGTAATAGTCCTTGGAGTAGTTGACATGAACAGTTTTTTTTTTGTTAGAATGATTCCATATATATGTGCAAGCAAGCACATGCCTTGTGAAAAAGGGAAATCTATTCTAGTCATTCTCTTTAACAAGGCAACCTTAAAGTTGATTTTTTAAACCTGATGTTTAAAACTACATTGAGTGTGAGATAGAAGTTTATGCAGAGAAGGAAAAAGATAGAAGTTTTTGAGGATGTTGCTGATGAAAAAGATAGAAGTTCTTTAGGATGCTGCTAATGAAGTTTATGCAGAGAAGGAAAAAGATAGAAGTTGTTGGCACATAGTAAGCTAGATAATGCAATTGTATATAAATGAGTTCATTTTTTTATAACATTTACTCACTATTGGAATAATTATTTGTATTTGACATATTAGTGAAATGAATTATCTTTGTTATTTATGGTATTTTATTTATTATTATGAGATTTCTAATGTATTATTTAATATGAAAAATTAGTAAATCTATAAATAATATTTTTTTTTAAACATTTAAAATTATGATACGCAAAAATGTGTGTCATCTTTATTTATGACATGGCCTTTCTTGACAGGGGCTTCCTTGATACGCATTGCGTGTCATAAACACGCGCGTCGTAAGGTTACGACACGCAAATGCGTGTCGTCTTCCTTTATGACAGGGCCTTCCTTGATACGCATTGCGTGTCATAACCGCGCGTCGTAAATGCGCGTCATAAATGCGCGTCGTAAATGCGCGTCGTCTCTCTTTATGACAGGGCCTTCCTTGACACGCATTTGCGCGTCGTCTGAGCGTTTTACGACGCGCAATGAGCGTCATAAAAGGCCTTTTTTCTAGTAGTGAGGATTTGGAATCCTTCAATTCTCGCATGCCGTGAAGGCTTAGTCAAATCTAAGTGGGGGAGAGACTTCTTGTAAAGTTCTCCAAATGTGAGTTCTGGTTGTGTGAGGTGCAATCTCTTGGGCAACTTGTCAACCAAATGGGTATTCTGGTCGATCAGGCCAAGATAGAGGTCGCGATGCAGTGGAAATTCCAAGGACTCTAGCTAAGATTCGGAGTTTCCTAGGTCCAGTGGGTTATTACCGAAGATTTATACAGGGCTTCTCTGAGATTGAGGTTCCTTTTGACCCGACTGAGCAAGAAATCGGTGGCCATTTGCTGGGGGGCTGAGCAGCAGGCAACCTTCGAGACTCTCAGATAGTGGTTGTGTGAGGCACCGATTCTCACCCTGTCAGAGGGTGTAGAACATTTTGTGGTTTACTGTGACGCTTTGATCACGGGCGTGGGTGCGGTACTGATACATTCGGGTCATATCAAGTTTCGGGAACCAGGTTAGAGTTCCGGTTAGGACTCAAGTTCAGTGATGTCTTAGGTCGAGTGCATGTTCGACCCGGTTTGGAAAGTGTTGTAAGACTACAAGGGTAGCAGTAGCATTCACTAGTGGTCAGTTAGCATGGGAAGTGTTGTAAGACTACGGAGGTAGTTGTAGCATTCACTAGTGGTCAGTTAGCATGGGTAGTGTTGTAAGACTACGGGGGTAGCCATAGCATTCAGTGGTAAGTTAGCATGGGAAGTGTTGTAAGACTGCAGGGGTAGTCGTAGCATTCACTAGCGGTCAGATAGTGATAGAGTATCATGAGACTACGGGTGTAGCCGTAGCTTTCACCAGGTTGGTAGATGGCATGAGTGTGTTGTTAGGACGCGGAAGGAACAGGAGTACCAACCAGTTCGAGTGTAGTAGTGAGGATATGGAAATCCACGGATTAGGTTTCGGAATTACC